GTCTTTTTTTGTTTATAGATCCGACAGTCCAAGGATAGAAACTATTTTTAAACCTATTTGTTTGGCTGGGTATGCTTTGATGTCTTCTACCCGATGGTAGAAGTGTGAAGAGACACTGACCAACAGGATGGTCACCTTCCATAATTTCTAATGCCCCTAATTTACACAACCACTCTCGACACCAAAACTTCATAGCCTCTAGAACTCGACTCCAACAAAGGGTTCACTGGCTGATGGTAATGTTTTAAAAAGGCTACTAGATATTTTGGGGGAATGCAAGCCTCGGGGGCAAGAACTGGAGTAGGCTGTATCAAAACTCCCCTGTCATTTTAGGGTCTGTCATTGTCTCCAAAAGACAAAATACATTTCTAGAAACATTTCTGAGCTTTGGGGAGGAAAAGTGAAATACTGGTGTAGAATGAAGTTGCTCTTTCATTCCACCTTGAACAGATAAGAGGAGGTAAATGTTTTAGCTGGCATCTAGAACAAGCGTATAATTGGCTTTGGGGAGCGAATCCAGTGCCCAAAGGAATGCCAATTCTGTTATCAATAGAATTTGGCTTCCAATTTTTATTATGAGAACAAGTCCTCATCACCTAGAGGGGAGGCTGAAAAAATGTTTATTGGTCAGGTCAGTGTATCCATTATCCAGTCCAGCAGAAACACTATAGAAACATATGGGCAAAGCTTTCAAGGGGAAGCATTGCTTTATTTCAATCGTTTGCCCAGCTGTTTCTATACAATATTTTCATTTTTCCACTATTTATTGTTTAGTGATCACATATCCCCGAGATGGCTACACAAATGGCCTTGCTTACCTGAAGTTAAGCCAGGTTTTGCTCTCCATGGCTTCTCCCCACCCCAAGCCAAGTTCTGATGGGCCAATTCCATTCATGAAAATACTGGTAGTCCTTGACTTATAACCACAATTGGGACCAGAATGTCTGCTGGCAAGTGACTTGCACCTGATTTTGTGAGCTTTTTTTGGCCAGGTCATTAAGTAAACCATTGCAGTTGTTAAGTGAATCATAGAGTTGTTAAGCAAATCCAGCTTTCCCCCCATTTTGCTTGTGGGAAGTCATTTGGGACAGTTGCAAATGGTGATTCTGGGATGCTGCAAACTTTGTAAATAAATGCCGGTTGCCAATTGTCCGAATTTGTGACCATGGGGATCATGTGACCAAGGTTAAGTGCAAAAATTGGTTGTAAGTCATTTTTTTTTCTGTGTTGTCATTTTGAACTGTTGCAAAATGAATGGTTGTTAAATTGAGGACTACCTATTTAACAACAGAGTGAGGAACAGGGAACAGAAGGTTGCAGTTAAGGCAATTGTATACAGGCCAAGGCCAATTTCAGTGAGATGGAAGAGGAGCACCCACCTTTGTTAACCAAACGGTCTGTACTATTTATACTCTGCTTTCCTGTTCTGCTTCCTTTCTCCTACCGGCTGAGCTACCTGTCTCTTTCACTTCCACAGCTAAGAAAATGTGGCTCCTTTGTCAGCCTCTTGATCTTTCCCTCTGCTCTTCCTCCAAGGACTTCAAGGTAGTTTCCCAGCCATTGACCAGCTATTGACCTTCACAATAATTTGGAAGGCTGCTTAAGGGCAAGATGGGTGGGGAGAAAAAAATTGGCCTAGAGCTCTCCTGGGATTTGCAGAGCACATAATCAAGAGCTTTGACAGAATGGCTGAAGCCCTACGCTTCCTGTTTGGAAGGCATGGTGCACAGTTCACGCTCTAGTGGCCACTCAAGTTTCCTCTGCTCTGGACATGCCCCAAATGCATTGGGCTAAAACTCTGGTCACGCATACTAGCATACTCTTAGCTTTGCTTAGTTAGGAATGATGGGAATTGTAATTATAATGAAGAACAGTTACAGGAACTGGGTATGTCTAGTTTAATGAAAAGAAGGACCAGGGGAGACATGATAGCAGTGTTCCAATATCTCAGGGGCTGCCACAAAGAAGAGGGGTCAAGCTATTCTCCAAAACACCTGAGGTAGGACAAAAAGCAATGGGTGGAAACTAATCAAGGAGAGAAGCAACTTAGAACTAAGGAG